TATAATTTTCAGTAGACAGCTAGCAATTGCCGCTGGGAATGAGTTTATAAATCTCCATGATATCTGCTTCTGTGTGTATGTAAATACTCCTGTATTAATGAAGGGATGCTAGTTTGAGAAGCTGAAATGAATGGTGTCTGTTGAGCCTTAGTGTTCCTGTTTTATCACACATTCCCACACAAAAGATTTTCTCTGGCCGTGGTTGCTTTTTTGGAATGGTAGGGTTTTTTGTATTTGCTTTGTTTTTTGAAAAAAAACCTAGCTGCCTCAGATAATTATTTTTATTTGTATTTTGTTTTTTAAAAACATATTTGTACTTACCTTCATGAGCAATAACAATAACTGTCCCTGATTACTTTAGTGTATCTTTATTGGACTATATTTTAATTTTATTTTATTCTTGAAAACTTTTGTAAGACATATTTTGTAAGACATATTTATACTCAAGAGTGGAAGATGAAGGCTTCAGACTCAACAGCTACTCATATAGCACATTTATATTCACAACCATCCTTTCTAAAGATTATCTGCAAGAGTTTTGTAAATGAGCTTACAAAGCCTATTTTGATATTTTTTTAAAAGACAAGTTAGATTTATCTCTTTTTATCACTTTTTTATTTATCACTGGTGGGACAAGTTAGATTTATCACTTTTCTTATAAACAGACACTGTGATTGAAAGATTGAAAGAAAATCCTTAGGCCATTGTTGGATGGAGGGATCACTATGAATGTATAAAGAGACTAGTATAGGAATTCCACCGATAATAGTCTTCAATAACTCAGATAGAATTAAGCCCCCTCCTTTGTTTATCATTTTAATTGCAAGATAAAATTAGAGATTTCAAAGGGAATATAGGGCCAATCTATGTTGTAATAATAGCTTAGATCAAGAGGATTTGATTATATGGGGTATCACTTAATGTTTAGAGTAGAATTGATCGATCTATCACAGAATTATCCTTAGTAAAGGAATAAGCTGCAAGAATGTAGTGTGGTTGTTCTCCTTAATTGTTTGGACTATTTTTTTTTCCTATTTAAGGTGAACATTTGGTCTTTATTATATGCGTTTATGAGGCAAATGCTTTAATAAAAAGCTAATATTAAGCTTAATATTAAAAGAATATTAAGATTCTTTTAAAATAGCAAATTCATATGTTAAATTATGTTTTAAAAACACTTTGCTGAAGTGTGCTATATTGCAGCTGGAGTTCCCAATATTAACTTGAGTACCATTCTGAATAAAAACAAGTTTTGTTATTATGTGGGAATTGGCCTTATTTGATTGCCAAGAGCCAGGAAACCATGGATATTTTCTTCCATTGTTTTTGTATAGTTTAATTTGCTAATCTGAAGTCATGACTGAGAAAGCTGAAAGAAAACTGCTTTGTTGTTCTTAAGGAAGAAAAACTAATATGGAATGTTTTTTGTTTGGTGTCCATGCAGTGGAATTTCCCTTGCTCTCTTCTCCCTGTATTCCATGTATCAACAACTGCAATTAGGAGTTAATTATGATATTGAGTACATTCTGGTATGTTTTAATCTACTACATCAGTGCTCTGAACCATCTTTTTGTTGAATATCTGCAGTATATGCATTCTTGCTGCTGTCGTGCCATATTCTTTCCTTATAGCATTCTGAAAATTTGTAAAGCGAAAGTAGTAATACAAGTGAATTTTCCAGACAGTGGCATAAAACCTACCATATAAGAGAAAACTCATCTTAAAGTGCACTTACAAGATAGAGAGAAAACATTCTCATATTTTAATAAGCTAATATTCCTTTTGTGTGGTACTCAACGTTTCTCAATAGTTCATGAAAGGGGAATTTTGGGATTATGAACTCTCGTGTGTGCCTTGAACATTTGTTTAAGAATAAAAATGTATACCTTTTAGATAAGTTGTCCGTCATGAAGACTGACAAATATGAATGAAGTGAATCTATACATGCTGTCAAAATGCTTTCCATTTTATCTAAGCAGACTTTATTTATTTACAAGTATTTTTATGCCCTTTACTCAGCTGAATATAAGCGGATTACTGTACAATGTTACATGTTACATGTACTATGCATGTAACATGTAACAAAATAAAAATAATATCAGTATCAATAAGCCATAATTAAACCATGAAGAAACTTTAAGGAGTGGCAGTAAAATCTTCAGCCACGCCCCCCTCACACAAAACCAGCTAAAATACTTTATAAACGGCAGTCAAATATAGGAGGATGAATTTGTCCCAGTGCCTGAATCTGCAAAGTGTAACTTTGGTTTCAAATAATTTCTTAAGTCTTGGTTTATTCTGCAGCTAATTTTGACAAATTGGGATGTTACAGTTACTGACTTCTAGGGCCTGATATTTGTCATGAAGAGTCTTAGGTATGGGTAAAAATTTCTGAAAAATCTGTGCTAGAATGAATGAAAGGACATGTTCCTAATAGTAATTTGCCTAAATATGCTGATTATGGAACCTCCCAAAAGAGGTCATATGAGACAGGTAGTAAAAATTTGTGCATATCATCATAATTCCAATGCTGTGTGGTGTTTTGTTGTACTCTACTGCTGATCCTAGTTATTGTATTGCTTTTGCTCTTGTGCAGTTTACATTATTACTTTTATGTCCTTGGATATCACAGGACACAACTTACACCTTTATTAAATTAAATACAGTGGTTGCCTTTTGGTGAGGCAAAATAAATTTATAGTTGAGGCAGTGATGTACCTTTATCGGTCTATTTTTTCTAGTTGTCTCAATGGGCACTGTTATAGTCTTCTGAGGATAAGACATCTGTACACTTTTTATTTGAGCCCCAGTTGGAAAGAGAGAGATGAATGCACAGGCAGTAGCTGTAATTACAAACCTAGTTACCTGATGAAAGTTTGAGATGAATCAGCCAAGATCCTATCTTTGTCTGAAACAGAATAAGCAGCTCATTTGAATTAAAAAAAGGAAAAGGGTTTTCTGAGGTGTTCCCTATATATACCAGGAAACAAATTTTAATATCCTCTGTTCTATGTCTTGCCTTAAACCAGAGTAGAGCTAGAATATTTGGTGGTATGGCCATTGGTTATCACTTACAGTCGTGTGAAAAAGAAAGTACACCCTCTTTGAGTTCTATGGTTTTACATATTAGGACATCATAAAAATCATCTGGTCCTTAGCAGTTCTCAAAAGTAGGTAAATACAACCTCA